GTATATCCTTTCTCCACCTTTTGGTCCCCTTCGTTCCGAAACACCGCTTTCCTTTTCACCTCTTCCGTGATTTGCCCGTGTTTCGCCCCCAGCACTACTGTACCGCTACCCGAAATCACCACACGAACAGCAAGTAGCACCACTACCAGGAACCGCGCGGCACGCACACGTATCTACCAGTGACCGAGGCATCGGCTACCACAGCTAACGGATTCCCACCACTCCTTCTTCTCGCCTTGTGTTTAAACTTATAAATAGATATCTGGGTGCGTTCGATTATATTTATATGTACGCGGATATATCTATATACATATGTGTAATATACGAGTTACGAGTTTCTACACCCTCACAGTTCCACGAACGCAGAATCGTGCGAGCGTGTACTCGTTCGCGAGCTGCGCGTATTATTCATGATGCACCTAGTTACGCGCTCACTCGCTCGCTAACCCCTCCGACCCCCTTCTCGCCCTTCTCTCTCTCTCCTCTCTCTCTCTACATATATATACACACACACACACACACACACTTATATATACAATCGTGTGGATACGTGTGTGCGCGCGTGTATCCCTCTCCTCCTCCTTCACCTCCACCACCCCCTCACTAAACACCGATCCCGAAGAGCTTTCTCTAGCCCTCGTCGATCGCGGTCACGACACACACCGATCGGTTTTGGATCCACCGAGTCTGGCGAAAGGAAACCAACGATCATCATCCCTTGCTCATCGATCGAGGCAGCCTCGAGGAAGAGGAAAATCGTGGTAAAATCAGTTCCACCGACTCCTTCCACTCGACACCACTCGAGAGCTTCCTTTCAATCTTCCGTGGCTACACGAGAGTGGGTAAGACAACTAGGAGCAAAAGAGGCGTCGTCTACATCGACGACAAATCAATCGACTACCTTACCTTCTCGCTGCGTGCCACTCTTCTCTCATACTACGGTTATCGTCCAGCCCTCGCACCCTCGCGAATCTTCCTCACGATGGTCTCTCTCTTTTCCAACGAACCAACGATTCTCAGTGGTTGGTGTCGCGGCGCAAACGATACTCCAGGACCGAATCTCTCTTCTCTTCCGGGTCTCTGTTTCTTTTCTCCTCCCTCTCTATCTCTCTCTCTCTCTCCCTCCCTCCTTCTACCTCTCCCTCTCTCTCTCTCTCTCTCCCTCGGGATTTGCTCGTTCTTTTCCCTAATTTGCCTATTTCCCTTCTTCGCCTACTTCTCTCTCTCTTGCTCGCACTCGCGAAACGTAGGTTTTTCAGTAGGTACACAAACGTTAGTCGAACCCTGCCGTTCCAATCCGGCGTAACGCGTAGCCGTGGCCCATCTACACGCACACTTCCTTTTTGTCACGATCCTTCGACTAACCGGGAGCGCTCGGGCGTCGATCCTCACCACGGAAACTCCACGAAATTCCACTGAAAGTTATACCAAAGCTTCCCTCTTTTACCACTGGAGAAAAATGCCCGAGATTCGCTCCAACGACTTTGAAAATCCGCTCGAAGAAACTATTACGGTAACAACGACGACGACGACGACGACGGCGGCGACGGCGACGGCGACGGCGACGATGATAACGACGGCGACGGCGACGGCGACGACGAAGACGGCGACGACGACGACGACGGCAACGAAAACGACAACGACAACGACCACGACCACGGCAGCGATAGCGACAGCACACGACACGTTCGACTCGACGATATGCTGCCGGTTCGACGCCAGCGACGCCTAGCGTCGCGACGCCCCATCCCCCTGCCACGAGTAGGGCTACGTCGAACCCGACGCGCCGCGCCACGCCACGTTCCTCCGCCGCCGCCGCTTTTCCGCCACCAAGATCGAGCGAGATCCATCGGAGAAGAAACGAGGAGAAAAGAAGGAAAATGTAGTTTTGCTCGTCGAGAAGGGTTCACCTAACCTCTTACGTACACTTTCCCGCTATATTTTCTATCCGCAAAAAGAAAAATCATCACGAAACTATTCGCCGAAAGAAAGAAAGAAAGGAATCGTTTGCTTATCGAAAAGCGTAATATGTAGGAAAGAAGATGCTTAAATACGAGTATTTAAACATAAGTGGCGTTACTTGTAGTGCCGCAACATCATCCAAGGGGTGCATATATAACTTTTCACTTGCACGTAACTCGTATATACATATCTCTATATACACGTGTGTACAGACGTGAAATAAATCGTACACTTTGTATTGCGTGAGGCACGTGGCTATTTATACAACTGATTACGGGCAAGATTGTTGCTATTTTAACAACATATGACAAAGCATCGATGCATCTTGCTAGAGGTACCGAAGGTAAAACCAAAAAGAAAATTGTCCAATGATTATAATAAAAGCAGTAACGATACTCTGTGATATTTTAAAATTGAAATAAAACTGAAAAAACGTTTCTTCGAAGAATACCAAAGGGTAATGATGCATTTTTTTTTTTTTGCATTATTCGTTTCTTGTAAAACAGAAACGTCACGTGAACGGAGAAAGTCGAGATTTTTTTAACTAACGAACCGATAGTTGATTCAACTGGAAAAATCAAGGCCGTTGAAGAAACGAAAATTTGACAAAGCCGCTTTCTCAGCTGCTAAATCTAGTGGCGCCATCGAGTGAGTTTATTAGCACTCACTGTTCCCATCGAAGCTGCGATAAAACAGCACGAGAAAATGTAGCTTTCCGTTCAACGTGCTTGGGAAAAAGTTAACCGACCTATTGGATTTTCCAATTATTTGCCAATTTTCTGCAACTTATCTCGCGCTACGCGCTCTTTCTATGGAAATTTTTCTACCTTTTTTTTCCCATAGGTACCAATAAGTGCGCTCTATAATTAACAACGCGTCAGTCTACCCGTAGAACCTTATTCTATTCTTAAACTGTTCGACCGAAGAAAAGATAAGCCGGGGTTGCCGAGGGCCTGTGTTTTATTTATACAACCTTCTCTGTCTGACTATATTTATATATGTACTGAGAAAGCAACGACTTTAAACAGTGCGCAAATAAGTGAGAACACCACGTGTTCCCGAATTTTTAAGCAAAAATTATAAATAAAGGTCATTTTTCAGCGCTCGCCATTAAAAATGTTCGATTAGATAATCGAAGTCGAAATCGGTTCGAGCACTTAATACGCGACTACTTTCGGTTTCATTTATTAATTAATTACAAACTCCTGATACACGTACAAATTCAATTCGGAATATTTATCAATTGTTGCATCACCTTTCTCTGTAGAAGGAAAAGATCGAGTAAAATGCATATCAAATTTGATCGAAATGTGTGCGTTACTATTACAGTGATTCCGATTTTCCAGCTTTGAGCATACGTTACATGGTTTCACCTGTGTACATCAATTATGTATATTCCGATCATTTGCAGATATAAAATAACAGCGGTATCCTGTAAAAGTGTGAAACTATACTTTTCACTTTGACAACAAAAATCTTAACCTAACCTGAATCGATCTTTATACGAGAAACAAGGAAAAAGGTTATTAACGCACGGAAAACGTTACAACCGAACTTTTATAATACCAATTACGAATATACGATTCTCGATGAATAAAGCTTCCGACCTCACAGTTAGGAACAAAGGTATTCGTGCATTGTTCGATTCAGCAATGTTCAAGGACTTTCAATAACCCTCGATTATGTGAATATGAAAACATTGTAAAAATAGGTTATTAATTTAAGGAGCAAACGAGCACACCAACGTATTAATTTTCCATCTTGTTGGAAAATTGATTAAAGTTAGTAGTGAAACGATCACCGGAAATAAACTGGAATTTCCGGCGTTGTCTCTTGGATCTATCGTTGTGATTGGAGAGATGAATTGCGTCTCAGTAGAAAGAACGAATAGCGTCATGTTAATACAGGCTTAGAGGGAATCGGAAACTGTTGCTGACTCTCTTTCTTTCGGTCGTAAGCCGGCACCGGTTCACCATAAGAACCGACTGTGACGCGTGCCAACTGTTCCGAAATTATTCTGGTGCGCAATACACCGTTCCTTTTACTCATCTCGTCGGTTCGACCAGCCCACTTTGTATTTTCTGACGTGGTTTTAACGTGGTAAGCTGTAAACGGTACGCGATGGCGGCGGTTGACTGTTACCAGAATCAAGCCCAGACCGAGGGAACCGGCCAACAGACACAAACTCAACAACAGCAGTCCCAACAGCAACAACATCAGTCACAATCACAGCAGCAACAGCCGCAACAGCAACAAGCCACCGCTGGAATTCCAGGCAAGGATGACGAACGCAAACTCTTCGTCGGTGGTCTATCGCGTAATACTACCGACAAAGAATTACGGGATCACTTTGGTAAATTTGGAGAAATCGAAAGTATCTCTGTTAAAATTGATCCCTACACCGGTATTTCCCGGGGATTTGCGTTCATGGTTTTTACCAATCCTAAAACGATCGACAAACTTCTGGCTTCGGGCGAACATTACATCAATAAGCGAAAGGTTGGTAATATTTACTAATTAAACCCTTCAATTTATACCTTCGCACTACTTATTTTCATTTATCCTACCTCTTTTTCTTCAATCCCATATCTTTTGTTTTGATGCAGGTGGATCCCAAGCGGGTGAGTAAAAAGCCCCAGTATGGCAAAATTTTTGTCGGTGGCCTTACCGCTGAAATTACCGATGATGATATCAAATCCTACTTTGGCCAATACGGCACCATCGTTGAATTGCAAGCGCCGTTTGATAAAGTAAAAAACCAGAGAAAAGGATTTTGCTTCATAACGTTCGACTCCAAGGAAGTTGTATACAAATTACTCAAAACACCCAAACAAACGATAAATGGGAAAGAAGTGGATGTGAAGAAAGTCAAAGTTAATCCAGACCCAAGGAATCAAGGATTTTGGGGCCCAGGCTATGGTTACGGCTACGGCGGAGGCTATGGTTACATTCCTGATTACTGTAACGGTTATCAAGGGGGATATGACGATATGTATGCAAACTATGATTATGCTGCTTACGATGGGTATGACAACATGGGATACGGGGCTCAAGGTAAGCCACGAGGAAATGGTCAGGGACCACGTCAATTTCAGAGACATCAGCCGTATTAAAAATGGGTTTATGAATCCTACATACTCAAAACATGGTGATAATGCAAGAATATAGCAAGGAGTAGACCAACTTTGTCTGGATACAGTCTGAGACTGAGATAGGGAAATTTGGGATAAAAGAGCTTATAGAGTCGTTAAAGGACTCGATTGAAAGCCCCAAAACTCTCTGATCTTTGTATGTCAAGTCTGTAAAATACTAGATAGTTCTATGTACATTTACTAAAAAGGAAATGAATTTTTCATTAATTTGCAATTGGTGTGTAATTTAATGAGTTGGAAAAATCATGTCTGTTTCTATCTATGCACACTTTGTCATTTATTACGTAAAACAGGCTATGAACGAAACTACTAAGATAGATATTCAAGTATTTTTATTGAAATTCAATGCTTTATATGCAAAACTGCTTGTCCTTCATAGAAACCATATATAAGGTAACAAATTAAAATGATTGATTTACTCCTATTTTCTTGTTATTCATGATTCATAATACTAACATGTATATCTTATAATTTAATACTCTAATTATTCTTTAGCATCTTAAGTTGCATTACTAAAGTATTGTTTATTATATGCTTGGTGTTAATCTTATTACTAGAAACGCAACGCTGTGTCGTTTATAATAGGACGTTACGTCGATAAACAGTTTCGGTTCAGAAAGCACTTGTCAGTTAGAAATAATCGATAGACATAAAACAAATTACCATTCATGGACCAATGGTTCGTACTCCTAATTAAACGTACTTCTTCCTCATAAATTTATAATCTATACGTATTATCTATTATCATCTATTTGTTTATACACTAAAGTAAGTCCTGTAACTTATATGAATCATAAGGTATCGTAAGAGGCATACGTATCTTCGTATGTTATATGTATATACGTGTACACATACATAATGATGTACACGTGTGCGAATTAGTATATAATAAAGTAGGAATTAAGAGAAAGATAAAAATATTTCAAAATGAATATAATTAAAATATGAACGTCCTGGGTAGATATGCGAAGAGTGCGCGAGTGGTAGAAGATGGTTACAAAATATTCTAAAATGATATTTGGAATTACATAAGAGGAGCAATAAGTATGCTGTAATTTGCACAAAATTTCGTAACGATTTTAATCATTTCTTATTGTTACATCTTTTACTTTTTTTTTCCTTTTTCTTCTTCTTTTTTTTTTTTTTTTTTTTTTTTG